TGCACTGCACTCACACTCTGCACTCACACCGTCCCTTATATTCTTCCACATACACCGACCCCTCCCATCCTCCACAAACATAGCCTTCTCCTCTACACACACTACCACCCTCTTGTCCCTCACACACTACGCCTTTCCCTCCTCACACACACCATAAAGTCTCTACACATCTAGTGCAGTGTAACTTCATGTCATGTGTTAATAATTCAATTTCGTATCAATAGTAGGTATTGTAGGGAAATGTTATCCTAGTTCAACTTAGTATCAACTTTTAGAAATTGCGTCATTGGTTTGAACTCAGTTTTTATTGCAAAAAACAAGTGTTCCCAAGTTTAGTAAACCTGGGATATTACATGGTTAGGTTCCATTCACCACAGTGATCTTGTTCCCATAAGGACATGTCAGAATAAGTGGCGTTTTGTTCTTTTTGGTAATTAGTATTACTTCTTTAAAATGCCTAGACCTTTCTCTACTCACAATTTTTGGAATGCAGAACTTGATATTTAACTATTTGTAACTTCATTGAATGCTGTGATTCCTGCCATTGATTTGGGAACATAGGGAACGTAAGGAGTTGAGGGAGGCAAAGATAAATGAAGTGTCCATAAATGTGTGTCCGTTAGGTATTTGAGGAATTTTAAGATATTGAAAATTATTTATTTTCACTGTTTATTTCAAGTGCTTTATTTTTGTGTAGAATCAGAGAGAGGCAACCAGGAAATCCTACATTAAATAGAATATTGAATTTGGAAAACATTTGTTCTCCTTTTTCTGGAGAAACTTGCATTTCTGAGCTTAGCGTACTTAATGATCCTGAGGTGAGCATGTACTGTAAATAACTTGTTTTGACAGAAAAAGTTCAATTATTCACACAGAAAGTCATTAATTTTCATTGTTTTCTGTATTTCCAGAATGCTCTGCGATCTTTGTGCCGTACCTTTCAGCAACATGAAATAGCACTGACTGTGGAATGTATGGATGATAGGTCTATGGCAATGCAAACTTGCATAGGTAGTGGTCATTTGGAAAATCAGAGTTTAATTTTCAAATCTATGCTTCCTGATGCCACTTTTTCTGCCAGGTAATATATTTCCTTCATGGCAGTCTGACAATAGCTATTTAATTTTATGAATTTTTATGTTGGAGTTATACTTGTTCAGTTAATTTTTGACTGCATGGAATGCATTATAGATGATATTTGGTGAATTTGTTTTATTGATCAAAACATGTGATGAGTTCTTTGTGTAGAAGATATTTCTTATTTGCAATACATATCAGGGTAGTAAAGTTTTTGAAATAAGATATTTTATTTGTATAAAGGTGTCCAAACAATAGTGCTTGTTGCTAAGAACTGGAGTGCGATCATGGTATTTTCGGAATCATGTTCTTTCTTGATTTGTGTGAATTCTATTACCGTCAATTATCTCAGTGAATAACTAATAAAAAAAAACTTGAGGGAGGTGAATATACTTGACTTAGACACTATGCTTAAAATTATGTAAGAAATAGTTCAATACGGATTTTTATTAAACTTAGTTTAAATTAGTTTACATGAATTGCTTACATTTTATGTATTACTGTACTGAATTTTGGAAATTACTTGTCCGTCATTCAATGGAGCTGCAACCTCCAGTTTGTTCAGGCACCAGTTGTTACTGGCTATAAGATATAAAAATAGATACTTGCAGATTATGATATGCGAAACAAATTACCGCACCCCACATTATAATAGCAAAACTTGTAAACAATACTTCTTGGGCACTTAAAACTAGATTTTCAGGTCCCTAATGGGATATATTTTTGGGAGGGGAGGGGAGTAAATTCGATTTCCGAGGCAAAAAAATACGTTTTTGAACTTTCCATTATATTTTGGAGGGGATTTAGTTCTTTGCCACCACTCCATATCATGCTTAGTCAGAAAAGTGACGAAATGGAAAATCTATGTAAAATTCAATCAAATGAGAATGTTAGAAATAATTTTTCATGGTAAAATTAATTGGAATGGTTGATCTTGGACCTATAATGCAGTTTAAGCTGTCTGTCCGAAGTTGTTTTCCTGCCCCCCTCGGAGCCATCATCGTTGTTCATTTTATGTTGAGTTATCTTTTACTTTAAATTTCACATGGTTATTTTCTTCTTTCAGTTTCCTTTCCTTTCCTTTCCATTGTGTTAAGAGCTTCTTAATTATTTCCTGTGTGTATTTTAATTTTCCCACTTACGTCCTTCAAAATCCTTGATTTGTTGAAAAATATCCTAATGAGAGAGGAATGGAATATCTAATTCACTGTAGAACATTATTGTTGTTTTATTATTTTTATTATTATTATTATTATAATCAAAGCTTTATGGGGGCCAGCAATTAAATAACTTTATTTGATGGTTAAATCCTTTTAATGCAATAATCAATTTTCTACTTTTGACTTCTGATTTGCAGTGTTCAAGAGACTAGTGGCAAAGAAGTATCTTCATGGACCATCACACCTTCTACTCTAACTCTGCTAGTTCCACGCTTTGCTAGTGGGTGCATCACCATTGCCAGCACTAATGAAGATGACCAGATGTTTGAAATTAGCAGCTCTGAAGAGTTCCTGTCTATTGAACCATCATCTGGTATCATTCCAGGAATGGGAGAAGTTGTTGTTGTAGTGACATGCAATGTGACTTCTATTCCTAAAACTAACATTAAATGCTGTCTGAAAGTAAGTTCTAATTGAGGTGTGTTAAGATAAACTTGTATTGCTAGGACTTAAATTCATACTTTTCTTAGTGTAACTTACTTTATTCCAAGTATGAAATTCACCATTAATGAAGGGAAATCATGGAGTCAATATTCCACATTAGATTAATAGCTTGTTGACACATGGGGCATGGGGTGGTTGATGGTCTCCATCTAAAAGATGGAAGGGTTCCAGCAGCCACAGCATGTGCAGAAGATTCACTCTGTTAAGGATTTTTCATGTGACTGAGGATCCTTCATTACAATTTGATGGCGCAAGTGTGTTGAAAGGATTTTTACAGATAGTTTGACCCAACTTGATGCAAACTTCGATCCAATAATAGTAATGCACTATTTTTACTACATACTCTATTTGCTTTAGTTCAATTGAGTTTATGCCTTATTTTACATGACAAGTCTCTACTGACCATACAAATTTTGTTAGTCTCCTTTCACTATCTAGCAGAAAAAAAGGTAACACTCAGGGCCAATTTGAATGTATCTCAGAGACATCTTTTAGGATTGAGAATCGTCCAATTATCACTGATGTCTCTGAATTTTTGAAAGTTGCAAAAGGTTGTTAATCTGTTTCTGACCACTTATTTTACCACACCTCCACTATATGTTTTTTAAGAGTGGGCGAACCTGCACTCGTTTCGTTACACTACTGGGTATACTTGTTCATTAAATGTGTGTAGTTTCCCTTTCTGTATATAAAACTTTGCCTACATAAGTATGAGAACTTGCACATTTAGGGCATAATATATGATAATGCAGCTGATGAAATGGGTATCAATGAATCGGAGGTTTTGCTGAATATCTTTGTCTACCACTACCACACTATTAAGGTGACCTGAGAATGGGGTGAATTGAAACTCAAGCACTTTGTCTCAGTAGCTAATGCTCCAAGGAAAAGAATAGAACACTTTTTTACTTGCACCATTTGTTATCTCATTGACTGCCAGTCATCACCAGTAGTAAAGTTGTGAAAAAATCTAATATAAACTTTTTATATACTGTAAATATATATTTATTTATAAATTTGCATATTCACATATAAATATTACTGTAAATACTATAAATTTACTGTAAATACTATAAATTTTCATCCAGACGTTTTATGTAACCATTCCTTTTTCATATGAACTACTCAGTCTATCTCAGTCTGCTTGAAAGCCGGAAGACCCTGATGCCTGCGTGTGTAATTTAATATTTTTTGTGTTTTATAAATATTAAAATTATAACAAAATATGTCTTTAAAATGTCCACGTCAATTACACTTTTAAAAGTGAATCTCCCATCATACTTGAGAGCGTAGGCTTCTGTGGCTGGAGTAAGTATTTACTAGGCTGTCAGGGTGACACCGCGTCCATGGTGAAGGTGCCATTCTGCAACCTTCCTCAGGGCGTAATGCGCCCGGACAGCCCAGTAAATACATTCCCATCATACTTGATCGTCACTTCACTTGGCCTGCTCCTCAGCTGTGCATTACGGCATTATGAGAGCATTTTATGAAAGTTAACGTTTTAATATTGATTAATGTTGAAATTAATTTTACAAATATCGAATTACCTTTAATTTGATAAGGGAATATTATTTCTGACTCTCTTCCTTCAATTTAATTGTACATAGTTTTTATAGTTGAATCTGTGCACCCATGGGTAAGGGGTACTAGAGAAGCTGAATCTGAAAATATGTAATAGTGATTCAAAAAGGTCTCATTTCGTAGAATATTGTGTAGAAACACACTAGGAGTATAAACATGACCTAAAATACTTGAGCTCTAGTAAAAGGATAAGAAAAGATAATGAACTCATTGCCGATCAGAATCTTTCAATTACACAGAAATAGGATCTTCATATAAGTTTTTTTGATAATTTTACTGAAGTGCGTCCGTGAAGAGATTCACATATTTTCGTACCCACTGCAAGGACGCCTGATTATGAACTTCTTGACCACTTTTCTTAACTTTTTGGTCTCGCAATGCTTAAGTAATGATGCTAGCCTGGATTGCACAACTCGAAAGTTATAATACAGAAAGAACATTTTGTTGGGTTGCTTTGCCCCCTTTGGAAGTAGGATTTGATGTGTGAATAAAAAGAGCATCACTTAGTTGAAAACCAAAAGGTATATTAAACGCAAGGTACAAACACAATATACAAGCATAGGAGCAAGACTTTGTCTTCTGTCAGTAAAGCAAACCTAGTGGGTGCATCACAAGCTGTAAGGGTGCCTGTCACATGCCAACTTTGCCAAGTTGTGGATCGCACAAAATACTAGTTTCATTTCAATGCATTCTCTTGGGCAATTTCACCAGAGACAGAGGGCCAACTTGAGTTGGAGGAATAGGAAAGGCATTCTTAGGAAATGACTATTATTTACCTAAATTTACTAACTAGCATAATGTAGTTGGCAAGAATAACAGAATAAAGATAAAGTAAATTTATTTATTTATTTTTTGCTTGGGAGATTTTTGTTTTTGACAGAATATGTTGACTTCTGGCTAGATTCTAGGTTGAAAGTAATGTATCAAGAAGTGCTATTATTAATATTGCATATTGTGTATGGTTTGTTTTAGGTCTACTTGGAAAATGATATGAAGCTAGTAATTGTTCATATCAAACCTCTACCAGAAAAAACGTCTCAGGAAAATCAGTTAATTGAAAGTGATTCAGAAGTGTCACAGAAAGATAGTTCCTCAGAAAAAATAGCAAAAAACAAAGCTAACAGGCAAAAATCTGTTCAGATGCCACATTCTGCAACCTACATGAAAACATAACAGTAATATAATGGGGCTGTTGGGACCATACAATGTATATCTAACCCAGTATGTGTTAAATTTTTAAAATATTGAAGAAAAATACTCCACCCTAATCGGAATTAAAGATTAAAATTTTTTTAAAAATGAATTGGAGAAAGATTCTGAATGTAAATGTGTTGCTTTCATTCTTCACGAGTTTTGTTGAAGCATAAATGGTGATGTTTTTTAATAAGGAGTAACTCCTCTAAACTATTTTAATGGATGCTCTTGTTGTAAAATATTTAATAAATTATAAACAAAATGTAACCGAATTGAATATGTTCATAATCCCCACTAGTACCTTGTATGTATGTATGTATGTATGTATGTATGTATGTATGTATGTGTGTGTGTGTGTGTGTGTGGAG